TATGAGAGAAAAAAAAAAAAAAAAAAAAAAGAAAAAAAAAAAAAAAAAAAAAAAAAAAAAAGGCGTTCTCTGATTATATCTTTAATATTTAGGATATATATATGAAATTTTTGTTGGGCTCAGATGTGATGAGCAGTTCATAAGAATACACAGCGCTCACTTTTTGAAGCCTAATTCTGTTTTCTTGGGGAAAAAAAAAAATAAAAGGAAAGAGAAAACCCCACGGAAACATCGAGCCTTGGGTGAAGGACAAAGTTAGGGAAACCAGTGATTCAGCGGGAAGATAACTGGCACAGAACAGGCGGGCTGCTGCAGACGGCACCGGGGCGCCAAGCAGGATTGCCTTTATTTCCCGGCATAAGGGACCATTCTCCCCTCCACAGCGGCTCCAGAAGAGCCCTCACACCTCCCTGCGCCCACCCGCCGCTCAGAACCCACCCATGCACCCAGCGCAAGGAGGGAAGAGCCGAGAGACCGGGATCTTCCTTAACCCCAAGACTCTCAGTGTTGCCACCAGCTATGAAATTAGTTGATGCAAGAGAGGAAGAGAACATGCTCTCGTAATTAAACTTTGACAAATCAGGGTAGATTGCTGCTCTGAAGCAGTAATTGCATCTTGTTTTCTTCAAGCATTAGGCAGAGTAGTCAATATTAAAGAGTATTTTTAGTGAAGGTTTAAGTATTCCTGTCTGCATTTGGAATTCTCTGTGAATAGATGTTACCTGTATAGCTTATCAGAGAGGACAGCCAGAGTTATCTGGTTCCACTCACTGTCTGGAAGCAGATATGGCCTCTGAGAACCTCCCCCTGCTCCTGCTGCTGGAGAAACACCCTTTTCTCCATCCCTCCGTAAGAAGCTCTGCGAAGGCAGAACTTGCCCTCGCAAGCAGGTCCGCTGAGAATGCTTCCGTTTGAAAAGCAAAACCCTGCAGCCCATCTACAGTCATCAGTCCCACTCATGAGCTTTCTGAGGTCACTTTAGAGATATCCATCCATCCATCTGTCAGAATTCATCCCTGAGGCAAAGAAAAACCAACAGTTACTATCCGTGGCCTTCAGTTCAGCAACAGAATCAACACAGCTACAGTGTTTATGAAAGTGCACAGGCTCCAAAAAGAAGAAAAAGCAAATAAAAGCTCGAGTCCTCAGTCTGTACGCCCTATCTACCAGAAAATGCATCCTGCCCTCCTGCTGTGCCTCACCACAGCCAAGTCTCTTTCTTCTCTCTGTCACAAACAGCATCTGCTAGGAATCCAGGACTCTGTCAGTAAAGCCAGCAGGCACGGACAGCAAGCTCACAGAGACAGCTGTGAGGAAGAAACGGTTCTCACAGAAGAGCAAATTTTTACCGAGGCCACTGCTTTTCCTTATCTGTCAGAGGAACGTAGATCACGCCCATCAGCTGCGTTTCGACGATCTGCCCGTCGCTGGTTTTGTCGTACTGCATCAGAACTTGGTTTGCGCCTTCGGGACCAACAGGTAATATTAACCGACCTCCGGGCTTCAATTCATTCAGCAACTGGCAAGCAGAGAAATCGGAATCAGCAGAGACAGGGGAAAAACAAAACAAAACAAAACAAAAACCCAACAACAAAAATAAGCCACACTGTGAAGGTCATGACACCTTCATCAGCACAAGCTTGCAAGCTTCATATCAGACAGACAGAAAAAGAAGCTTCCATTGGTTCCCTAATTATTTTTTTCACAGCTGCTGACGCAAGCAGCCCACACCATCAACATCCAGCACGACCACTCTCACCTCCTTCGGCACAGTGGCTGGGGCCGCTCCGACGTGAATGGCATCATACGGAGCCTCTTCGGGGTATCCCTGCCTGCCATCTCCAACTACAGGAGGGAAAAGCACGCAGAAAAGACTTTTGTTCTGATAACAACTCCATGCAAAAAATAATTCTTCCTATATCCTTTCAACTGAAGTCTAGAGGATGAAAACTTTGTAACAAGATTGTAACGGGAATTTTAATTTTGTTGGTTTACTTTTTAAAATGGGGGGAGAGATTTCTGGAACTGAGCCATGCTGTAAGAAGGAGCAGTCAAAGCCAGGAGGGCCTTTCAATAACACAGCGGCTTTGTGCAGGCTTAAGATTCCAGATACAGGAAGAGCTGACTCAAGTTATCCCTCCCAGAAAACAGCGACAGCGTGTGCAGACTTATTTAAATCAACTAAAACCCAGATGTGGTATAACCACACCCCTCTGAAGAGCATCTCTTACTGAATTAAGACAGTCACTGCACACTTGGAAGCAAGGTGTATGGTAAGACTGCTTGTAACATTAAATATTACTTGTTTACACCGTAGTGTTTGGCCAGTGTGGCACAGTGCTTACTGAGCCAGTGGTTTCTGGCAACACCATGGCAAGCACCAACACAAACAACTGCTTGGAGAAGCAGAGCTCTGCAGGCAGCCAGAGCAAATGCACGTTTGCAGGAAGGAATAAGCATCGGGATGCCAGAGAGCTCACCCACAAGCTTTACACGGCCAGAGCTGAGCAAAGTTGGATCGTCTTCTTGGACGTTTCTGATGGATTCATGTACCAGTTCTTTAATGTGCTCTACACCCACAGCTTTCCCTGTCGGGCCCATCTAAAAAGAAAAACAGCAGACAAACATGTAATACCCCCTATAAGGTTGAGAGACGTATTTTATAGGGTAAGTTACTGTGGGGAGTGGAAAAATTCCAGGAAGAAACTTAAGAGCAGAGTTTCAGAACAGGAGGTACAACTACTCTGCCCCTTGGTTTTAAGGTGAGTAGTCCCAGCTACATTAGCTACCTGAGGGATACACGGACACCGCCTACGGGGACTGCTAGTAATCCTTCCTTTCCAAAGAAATGGTTTTTACTACAAGCTGCTCTGGGAAGAAGAGTTTACCCCTTCCCCCCATTCCCTTCTCTCCCCACAAAAAGCACACGCCAGCTGTGGCGAGCTACCCTTCCTGATGCACCTTACCAGCTAGAAACGGAGTCCAGTGAGCTTACCATCCTGGCAAAGCAAGCCGTAAGATATCCACTTCCAGATCCAACATCCAGCGCTTTTGCACCTTCCACAAGTTGATCCTTTAGCAATTCCAGCGCATGGGCATGCTGTGTGGACAACAAGTACATGGAGGTGTGAAACATCCCATTTTAGTTTCCCCTCCTAAAACTTTTTCTCATTCTGAGCATTATCTGCTCCAATTCAAACCCAGCACACCTGGCATTCTGTCTGAGTGAAATTCAAGCGTTTGATCTGGAAGACCTTTTTGCAGAACAGCATTTAGGAAGAGGTTCAGTAATAAGATGTGAAGCAGTGGGGAAAAAAAGGTCTCATGCAAAAAATGGACAACATTAATGGTTAGCCACAGTTGCACAAATTGCCATCTAAGCATACCTTTAAAGCAACTTAAAGAGTATACTTAAAAACAAAAAAGCTTCCCATATACAGCGTGTAAAGAAACAAGAATGATAATCACATCCATGGGATCTGTTTCACCTTTCTACTTTAGTATTAAAAAAAAAGAAAAAAGAAAAAAAAAAAAGGCAAACAATTTCCTCCATTTCTGTTAAAAGTGAAAAGTTTCATCTTACCATATGCGGTGCACTGATTGTAGCCTTGTATCCTAAAAGGAAACAAGTGGCAAAAGTTATGGGATAAAGAAATGACGATTAAAATTACCAACGCAAGCAGTTCTTTACTCTCCCCCACTTTCCCCTAAAAATATGAAAACACGCTTCTCTCTTGCTGCACTAAAGCACTTCATTGATTTTAAATCTCCTCCTGTGGGATTCCTAACAAGCATGAGATGGGTGCACAGCGCTGCAGCTCCCAAGCGTTGCACCCCCCCCAGCTCGTTCATCAAAACACTCTGCAGCTCTCACAGCCTGCGCTCACTTCCACTCCCTAAGCAGAACTCAGAGCAATCAATGAACATTTTGAATGTGGAAAAGCCGTCTTGTTCTTTCCTCTGGATCCCACAGCTGCAACACAGATGGGGTTTGCTCTACCTGACCCATTGTAAAACTCAGCCACTGTTCTGGGGAGAGAGCAGCTAGCACGGAGAGCTCGGACCTGCCGAGCCATCGCACGCCCTGCTGTCCGTGTGCTGAGCACAGTCAATGTGCACGCAGGAAAAGCGGCGATACTTTGCCTTAACGTACTCACCAATAGATTGAGGAGAATCCATGTATGGGAAATACTTGATGTAGTGACCTCTGTCAGTAGCCAACAGCACATCAAATACTCGCTGGGATTTAATTATCCCTTTTTCTGTGAGAAGAAGAAAAACAGAGACAGAAAGGACTTAAATCCTCCGTCCTGTAGCAAGAGAAGATTTGGAAGAGGGGAGTACAATTCCAGGAGTTAGTGGAACTGGGAGAATTCAATCTTAAGAATCTGAGAACAGACAGAAAATAAAACCGCAGGTGGAAGTATGTAATTTTCAGTTTCTGCTACATCAAATTAAATCTCATTATGGTCCCAACCCTCAGCCCAGTCTCCCTCCGGTCTGACTTAGACCCACAGTGTTTCTGGAGCTGCCAAATGTAATGAAAGATAGAAAGTCACACTTTCACTCCTGAAAGCGGAGACTCTGGTTCAGGTTTCAAGAGCGCTAGCACAGTGAGTAGACTGAAGTTAAGAGCAATGACTGCAGAAACATTCAACATCCCTTCACACCTCATCACTGAGCGAACTCTTATAGAAGAAAAACCAGCTTTGGCAGCAGGGGAAATTCAAAGCTATTTTTCAGTGTGTTCCAGCCCGCTGCCCAAAGCGCTGCTCCAGAGCCAGGGCATCGCACTGGAGGGGAAGCACGGGCTGCAAGATGCTTCAACATCCACAAGCTCAGAGCGACATCACGTTGTGCAGTGTTTTAAAAGCTGTCACGCATTTACCACAGATATTAGGAAGAAATGTTTTATGCTGAGGGTGGTGATCCCCTGGGGCAGGTTGCCCCAAGAAGCTGTGGCTGCCCCATCCCTGGAGGTGTTCAAGGCCAGGTTGGACAGGGCTTGGAGCAACCTGGGCTGGTGGGAGGTGTCCCTGCCCCAGGCAGGGGGGGAAACTGGATGAGCTTTAAGGTCCCTTCCAGCCCCAACCATTCTGTGATTCTGTGATAGCCTTTCCTGCCACTTCTGGCATAACATCTTGTTTCCAATTATAAATAGAACAAGTTCAGACTGGGACAAGTACTGAAGCGCAGGCCACGTTAACCCCAACATTTCAGAACGAAGAGCATCCCAGCGTACCGCTGTACAACACTAAACACCCATATGCGGACGTGCCAACCGACCCCAGCGGCAGCCTGCGGCCCGGTGCCAGTGCCGGTACTCACTGTAGAGATTGTTGACGAGCTCGGGGTGCGTCTTGCCGCTGGAAGTCCAGGCCATCGTCCTGGCGAAGAGCAGTCCCATGAGTGCGAGGAGGGCGCCGGGCGGCAGACAGCTCATCCCACGGCGAGGGCGGCCTGCCCAGACGGGGACGGGGACTGCAACCCCCAACACCCGGCCTGTCCTCCCTGTGACACAATCTTGCACTTATACTACTGGGGACAGGCCGGGGCTCGCGCGTTGCACAGGGCAGGCTGTCAGCCCCAGAGAAGCGACAGCGGCCGCAGGTGACAGCGGCCCCGGGCCCAGCGCCGGGAGGGGACGAGGCCTGCTCCCCGGTGGAGGGAGACGCTTCCTCCCCGCCTCGGTC